TGAATATTCCATACTCTATTTTAGTTTTGTAGTATCTATGTTTTGAAAGGAACTTTGAATCCTTTTCGTACAGAATTCATCTGGTTTCGAAACGTGACTTTGATTTAAGATTCTTTTGTTTAGATTTCTTTTATAGTAGAACGTGTCGTGCTTGAAATAATAAATTTAAATTAATTTTACGAAATCAGGCTGACGCGGCAGACAGAACGCACCCAAGATAAATTACAAGTGCTTGCAGCAATGGTACTCGAGTGAGTAGTTTTCTTAAGAGTAGAATGCATTCTCACATTACCTTTATCTGTTATGCTCGTGATCGTGACTCTTAATAATAGTAAAAGCTCAAGCCCTATAAATCTAGCATGTATGTATAGCACATTGAAATTAAACTATTTGTTGTTGCAAATCGTTTCAATCGATAATTTATGGTTCGAGTGACGAATATAGGAAGTCGATTCCTGAACATTTATAAAGCTATGAAAGCTTTCTTTCGTATTAACTTTATCGCAAGATTTCTCCGTACGTTTAAGGTAGCGAGGCTATTATTAGCTACAATAACGCTTGGCATTTCAAGCCCCATATTTTGCACTCCTTTTGATAACCCGTATTATCCGGAATATCGCCATTAATTCATTTAATAGGCCCCGCAACACGTACAATTTTCTTTATTCCATCCTTAAGGAAATCGTTTATGATTAATATATAGCCTAATATGGTTAATTCTCGTGAAAGACTTGCAAGAATCCACTGCACCTCAACTGGCAATTTGAATGTATCATTTCTTCAAAAGAAAGCCGACTATGTTGCGAAACGTCCCGGCGTAAACAGGATATATTTCAAAAACACTGCCAATTTTCTCCATAAAAAACCGGTTCTTCAAAGGTTCTTCAATGTTCTAATGCTCTAATACCTAGAAAATTGTAATTATTTCAGTGGTAAAATAAAATTCAAATTTCCAAAATTATTTTAACGTCGAGATGCAGCGACTGACTTACTGCTCCAAAATTCTAATTCCTAATTTTAACGTCACAACGTTCTGTTGTCCAATATATTCGAAAATATTCTAATGTCTTAATATTCCAACCTCTCAAACCTCTAACGATTAGAATCTCGACCAAAAGAGATCGGTCGCTTCGATCGTTAAATCGGTCGACTAAGTTGCACCAGTCCCTCGTAAACCGAACCGTACGCTAGACCACTTTCGCGGTGACCTCAAAAACAAGCCATCGACATCGTGGCCAGTAAATCATTCGCTGCAACGCGCGCGTTTTCCCTCCACCCCTCCCCCCATTAACCACCTCTTAATTTACCAAAAAAAAATCGAACACGTTGACACAACGACGTTAGCGACGTTAACGATCGCGTTACCGACGTTCGGGGCAAAAGTTCTCTCCCCGTTTTCTGCACGAAACGCCGTGCCGCGATCCGTTGCGGTCGATTATCCGCCGATCAGGTCGTGGACGGATGATCGTGGACGATCATCGTTTTCCCAGCGGCGAGCATCGTCGCGAACCACGGGCGTGTATCGTCGTTATGCACGAGCAATCGCGCGATTTAATTGGCGGTTTCGCTCGAAGCGGCGCGAAAGCAATATTATCACGCGGAAACCTTTAAGGCCGCTGCCGCCGTCCTCGTCGCGCACCAACAATCCCAATAATTGTACGTGACAGAGGAACGCGTTACGTGCGAGATAATTAATCGTCCGGTCGATTAATTAAACCGCCTGGTCGACAGGACTGCTGATCCTTCCGACGAGACAGTCAAATCAAGTCTGCGTGTACACTCAATTCGTTCGTCAATGGTTTCCTTGAACTGATATCGAACTGGATAATTCATCTTTCGAATCGTAGGCAACGGTAATTCATCTTTCTGCTCTCGCGATAGTCGTGATGATTGTTCTTAATTTTGTGCTTTATTGGATGTTTCGGAAAGTTGGTGCTTTCGGAACTCGAGGTTGCGTGTAATATTCATCGGAACGAGGAGAAACTTCTTAACAGACAGAAGTCTAAATAGTATTTGCTCTTGGAGATGTTCGAAAGTTGGCATCAACTTCTATCGTTACTTTAAATTCTTATTTTTAAATTACGGTAGTTGATATGATATTAAATTACAAACATTGCCATTGTAGGAGGAGTAGATTGAAAAATTCTTTCAACGTTTTATTTATTAATCTGTTTTCTGTTGTCGCTGACGTTTGTAGTTTCAGCTCGAGGGACTTTTTCAACCGAGTGTTATACAACTGTACGACTTTTGTGCAGGTTTCTCGCGGGAACAGGTGATATTTTGTCATATGTATTTTTCAGCGACAGTGACAAGATAACTCTGACTTTTTCCCCTAGGTAACACGACTCTTCGTATATTGAATATTTTAGATTAGTTCCACGTGTAATATTTTGTTCGTGTGCAGCGTACGATGGCGAAATTATTTATTTGCCAGGAACCGTGGCAATATTTTCAACGGAAAAACGAACGTTGTCCCGTTGCTCGCACCAAACAGATAAGCAGAGTAAAAAATCGCCCACTCTCGCGCGAGAGCGTTCAAAACCGTGTAACCTTCAGCCGTGAAAATAATCTCTTGGATGAATCATGGTGGATGTATTTAAGGTAGAAACTGTATGATAAAACACGTGGTATTTGACTTTGCAACGGTTGCAACGTTTGCTACTTTCTCTCAAAACAAATTTAAGTTTCCTTCAACCATCCCGTATATCAAATGTATCTTAGGATACATTGCACTTTTGCTATTTAAAACGTATTTCCATTTTAAATTTAACATATACGACCATTATAATGATATTAGTATATATTTAATATATTAAATTGCATATGTTGTCGAATTTCAATTGTTAATCGTAACAATCCGTATAATACAATATAGTATTATAGTTTCTTCAGTTTATTTCTCCGTATAATACAAGTATCTTAACAATAAGACTTTCAAGCAAGCGTCTCTGTCACATAGTTAAGTTCGAAAATTTTTCTCGATAATTTGAACGAGCAATTTTTGGATGATCTACATTTGAGAATAGAATTGTTACTGAGTTGTTACTGACATAATGAACAGCAAAATATATATGTATCGTATATGTGTGTATATTCAAATTAAGAAAAGGAAAAGTGATCGAGCTCGCAGACGATTAAAAATCGAAATGAAAGTGGGGAACAGATCGCGAGTCGATACCATCAACAGTCCTGCGTTGGACCGAGAGAACGATTACAAACTGGCACCATAAATTATCGTTCCACGGAGTAATTTCATGACGTGCGCGGCTAGCCGCCGCACATCGACTCATTTGAACGCGTGAGTTGCGCTTTGTCTGGCAGATCGTAAAGTTTTCCGCTCGAATTTACCTACGATTCTCGTCGCTGAACGCCTACCTACGCTGGCTCGAGGGTGGCGATACGCCTGTGAAACGCTCGGTTTTATGCAAAAAAAAAAAAAAAAAAAAAACAAGTGGGTGAAGTCGGCCTCTCGGAAATGGGAAGTGGGTGGGATCGACCGAGAAAATCGATCTGCTTCGATCTGCGTCGACGTTCGCGTCGAGAAATTCAGCGCGGCGTTTACATGTGACTTTCGTTTCGTCCGACGTAATGGTCGTGTATTAGGGCATTTTATTGCGCAATTCGTTGAAACGTGGCCCTCCCCCCTGACCTGTTTGGTATTCGCTGTTGGAAGCACAGCTTGCATATGCAAGCGTAGATTGTCCGATGTTGGCTTCGATTTACATCCGTGTTCTTCTCATTAATCTTATTTTAGCACGGAAGCAGAAGAAAGCGCGGGAAAGTACCGACTTTACTGCATCGGGCAGACAGTAACTCGCGAACGTGTACGTACTTAGTTCACTTGCTCAAGGACGAAGCGGCTTTTCGACTTTAATTGGTCGATTTTCGTGTAAAATTTGTTATCGTTCTCCGCAAACTTTCTTCTTTTCACAGCGGTGTTTCCCTCGTTTTGCGAGGTAACAAGATTGCAGAAATGCAATTTTTTTTTACCTATTTTCCAATATTTTTAATTGTACACTTTGCCGTGGTACAGTTATAAGAAATATATATATATATGAAGCCTTTTTTATAAAGTAACAGTTATTTCGTGGTATAAAAATATTGACATAAATAAGAAAACATTTGTCTCATTATCTCAAGAATATAAATGACGTCAGTGTTTAAAATAGTTGTTGCTTAATTTCCTTAACGTACACAAATTATTCAATGAAATTTTATTTCAATATTCTTGTTGTAGAATGTACTTTCGTTCTTCATTATATAGAGGACTTGTTTCGGCCTTGTTATAGAAGACTTTCGTTCTTCATCATATAATTAATTCGGTTTCATCCTTGTTGATATAAATTTTAACGCAACGATAAAATTAAGAAATGCCTCAATTAAAAGGCAATTTGTATGATAAACAGGCATTTGTATGATAAATGGGAAAAATATTTATAGTTGTAAAAACGTCTTCAGATTCAAATACTCATTTTGTAGTGTTCCATTTTTAATTTGCGCAAGTAAAAAGTGATCGTTCGACGCATTATCGACATCTAGATTGAAAGTGAGATTCTTATAAGTCACTGGAACATCGTTACGATGCAACGAAAAGAAAAGACACTTCGAACAAGCCGAGCGTTATTAACGTCGATGAATCGGACAAGGGTGCGAAATGATCAAACTGGAACCGTCAATCTCTCGCGTTCGTCATTTCAACTATTTATCAGTGTGTAAAAGAACTTTAGATACGTTTTCAGATACGATTCAAGGACATGAGTGTGGTACTATTCGCACTAGATATAAAATATTACTCGAACAGAATCGCTTCCAATTTCAAATTTAAATTTCAAGAACATCGAGACACAATCATCTGTATTCAACGATTGCTCGTAAAACGGGTTAAAATTCAAATGAAATCACAGTCGAAATACCTATTCACGTATTTCTCTAAACGTAACAAACAAAAATTAGGACCATGTGTAAACTGTCGAACAAAGTTTCAAAGAGACCTCACTCACCCAGGATGATGCCTGGTGTAAGTAGCCGGAGTGGTCGTGTGATGCTGGTAGTTCTGTGTGACCACTTCCCTCGGTTGGTGACGATGATTGTGATAACTGGCTTGAGCAATGGCTCTAGTACCGGCGTACTCTGCCACAGCGACCGCGCTGAATTTCTCCGGTCTCGTGGTCCGTTGCTCCACGCGATGCTCCACGCGATGCCTGAACCCGCCGATTAACAGCGGCGCGATCGTCGAGCTGCTTCTTTCGGGGAACGGGTCGTTCCGGCTCCAATTGTTGACTCCAGTTGTCAGGGCCTGTTGGAAACCTGCCCTGCTGTCGCGATCGTGACGAGCGTGAGGAAATTTCTCGCGGTACGGCCAGACCGGCCAGATGAGTCTGTGATTAGCGAGGTCCCGGTGATCGTTGGTCGTGCGTTCGTTCGAGGCGATCGTGACTGGTGTGGCAAGGAGTAACGTGCAGATCAGAAGGATTTTCGGTGCGCAGGCCATCGCTGGACCAGCCTTTGATCTTCGATTGCGTAGCCCGAGTGTAGGAAACAACAGCCACATGACGAACGAATGGGTCACATTCTCGACGATTTGAATCGGTTGGCTAGGTTTGTCGGGACGTGCTGCTGCGCCGAATAACGTCGGGAAGGCTCGATGGACATTCGGTGCGAAATCGTTCGAAGGCAACCGAGAGAGCACTACTGAACGAGACACCGCGGAGTAGGCCCCACGTGCTTGAACCAACTCGCCTCGTACCAACCCCACCATCCTTCTTCTCTCTCTCTCTCTTTCTCTCATTCTCTCTTTCTCCTCGCGTTTCCTCGTTTCGCCCCCTTTCGTCCTCTCTCGCCACCCATCTCTCGCTCCTCTCTTGTTTGCTCTCGCTTATGGCCCTTCTTTCTTCGTTCCGCCTTATCCCGCTTCCTTTCTACCTGTCTGCTCTCCTGATACACCGCCAGCCGCTCCGCTAACCACCTACATATCCTTGCACGCGTTCCACGAGAACACTTAGGCGGATAGAGAGACAACGGTGCGCGTTGTTTGTTCCCTGGGATAGATGGGACGACCAATCGGCTGCGAACCGATTGCGAAACTCTCGAAGGGTACGCTTGTCGCGATAGTGCTTTTTCTCCTCGTTCCTCTTTGTTGATTCATGCCTTAGTTCTTTTTTACGTCGACCCCGATCATTGTAATATATATCGGGTGTGTCGACATCGAATTTGCTTGTTAAGGAAGGGTTTGATCAAGAGGTTGTTGAAGATTACAGAATGTAATGCTCGAAGCATCTTTGCGCTTTGTTACATGCTAACCGTAGTTGGTCTTGTGTTGGTAATATGCAAAATTCCAGAAATTGCTGAAATAACCGTGAGAGCTAGAGTATACACGCACACGGTGCAAAGAGAAACACGTACGAAGAGAAATTCGAAAATACGAAATTGTGGGGATTTTATTTGTTACATTGCAGTATAAATATTTGGAACGTGTATTCTTTTATACTATCGTTAAAATTAATTTTCTACATTAATGTCTCTGAAGTAATATGTATATTCCTGTTGATGCTTTGAAAAATACGCGAAGATTTCAATATCCATGTAATTATTACTCCGTTTCTGTTCAACGCAGTTTCCCCTTTACCCTGTACAACATATGTACATTCTTCGAATCGCAGTAAAACATCAGTAAGCAATGTGTTTCCATCATGCTGTTTTTTTTTCTTTTTTTTTTTATTGTAAAAACTCAGCAGACTAAAATAAAGACTGCACGTAGCTTTCAAATGTGCCTGCACTACCATTCACATGTATGCCAGTTTTAGCTGGTTTGTAATAATAATATTCGAGTTCAATAAAATTAATGAAAAATTAGATTATTTAACTATAATCAGTCACTGTCTTTCATGAATGATAAAAAAAAAACTATAAATTATAAGTTATCTGAAGACATATACATATATAGCAATAATATAATATATTTTACTTCTCGCTATATACATTGTATGCACTTGCTCCTCTTTGTCTGACTTACCTATGATATTTAATTTATTAACCTAATAAATTAAATATCAGAATCCGTTATCAAAAATTGAAGGGAGAAAATAGCTACCACTCTTTTGTCTATCTTTTCTTTCATCAAATATATATACGTCAACGAGAAAACATATGCGATCGAATATTTTCGACAATTGTTCTTCTTCCTTTGTTCATGTACTCTTGTGTTGCGCTCAAAGCTTTACGAAAGCATGAAAACTCATCTACGCAAACCGTGTTGTTTCAGCCGTCCGATGAATTAAATTGGAGTCGGATCTCCTCCGACTCCAATTTCCCCGAAAAAAATGAAAAAAAAAAAAAAAATGAAAAATCGAAGCGAAAGGGAAATCGAGGACCGAAACGGGCGATCGGGTTTCACGTTTATTACGTTATTACGTTCGAGCGTCGGTTCGGGCTCTTTCGAGTCCGCGATTGATCTCGAGATCCCCGGAACGCGAAAGGCTCTCGGAGGTTTGCTCTGTTTTACGAGCAATAAACGTCGGACTCGCGGGTGCAAAAGGTGTCACGGGTTCTCGCTAGACGAATGTAGGTCGTGAGTCACGCGTGAGTCCCATGGAACCAGCGAGCGAGGAAACGTTTGGAAATTATGGGGCGAGGAGCGGAGCGACCATCGTGCAACCAGCGTGTGTGTGTGTGAGTGTGTGAGTGTCACTCTTTGTCGATCGATTTCGCATCCGGATAATAAAGGGACTGAAAGTACAGAGAGACTGACGCGCGCGCTCGCGGCACCGAGCGTTTACACGCGCAATTACGCCGCGGCAATGAATAGATGCCTGATAATGCAGGCGCGCGTAAGTAGGAGACAATGCCCACGACGCTGCTCGTAATTACTAGTGATTTAATGTCGAGCACGCTGAGCCCATTGTCTCTCTGTCGATCTTTTACCCATTAATCTTTTCTACCTGCTTCTGAGATCGTGTACCTGTCCGTGGTTGCTTTTTTTTCTTTTTTCTTTCTTCTTTCACCTCTTCTGGCATACTTCTCCTCCGATGCTTCTCTTCTCAAAGTCGGTCGCATTCTGCGTTTCTTAAAGGGTTTTCATGATTTTCTTCGTATTTTTTCAACTCGCGTTATGGAGGTGATACATTTTTTTTTTTTTTTTTTTTCTTTAAGGAAACGAGATGTTTAAACCGATTCGTGATAATCGCGTTTTGTGCTGAGACATTTATGAACAGAATAGAATCAGATTTGTAACCTGCATTGATTGCCTTACTACCTATTTCTGGTAGATACTTTAAAGTTTTCGTAGCATTTGTGTACCCTCATTCTAATAAATAAAAATCGATAAGCTATTAATTAATGTACGAGACGCAATGTGTTTATTGAAGAATAGTGTGGAGTTTATCGATTGATACAGGTTATAAATAAGTTGAATTTATTTCGAGTATACGACACTTTTTTATTAATCGCAAATATAATTGATTATCTTGCGATAATAATAACTTTCGTATCCCGATGATTTCGGTCAGATTAATCGCACGTTCATTAAGCGTATTTTTAATTTTTAAGTGCTTCATTAATCTCGAATGCAAAAGCCTCCTTTTTATCGACATTGATTTACACTCACGTCCAGCAATGCTATAACACATGAAAGATAAATGCCAAAACGGTGATTTAAACTGCAAAAATATATACGTCATTCAGACACTAACAAATGTGAAATCATCGCAACGAGAAGTGGACGATATTGATGGAACCGACTTCAACAACTTCGACTTTCATTCTTTCCTCCAATCCAATATTCTTGTTATTAAAGTTTCTATAAAAAGAACAACGGATTATCGACGAAAGAACAGCTTGTTGAATACAGGCTGTTGAGTCGTTCTTCCTCCACGATAGTACTGTTTTGATTGCGATCAAACTTTTATTTCATTGATCAAACTTTTGCCGATTTAAATTAGCCAGGAGTATTGCACGTTCGTCTGTCTTTCGACGAAATTGAAATCGTGGATTAGAGAGAAACTGCTCGAAACTGCCGTGACTCGTGATCGTCCTTGGAAAATTGGTTCCAACGTTCCAAACTCCCGAATTCAATTTCATTTTACTCCATTAGGGCATGCTGATCCATATAAATCTAATTCGTGGACATGTTAAACGGTTCCCCGATATTTCCGCCAGAAATTTCCAGAAGTTTTGAATAATGGACGGATTGAATGAATGGATTATGGATATTTTGTAAATTGCAAATGAAAAATTTTGCTGTTCCTTGTTATTTAATATTATCGAATGTTAACAGTCTCTTTGAAACTTTGCTCGAGAGTTTACGCATGGTCCTAATTTCTGTTTGTTACGTTTAGAAAAATACGTGAATAGGTATTTCGACTGCGATCTTATTTGAATTTTAACATCATCCATTACGAGCAAATATGAGTTTGGAATGATTGCAGAATCGTTGAATACAAATGAGTGTAATGTTCTTGAAATTTAAATTTGAGTTTAAAGTTGGAAACGATTCTATTCGAATAATATTTCATATTTACTGCGAATAGTACCACAAGTGTAATACACTCATGTCCTTGAATCGTATCTGAAAACGTATCTAAAGTTCTTTTACACACTGAATGGTTCATTTATAAATAACAAGTAAATGATCCTGGTTCGATAAAGTAAGAATAATTCTAGTTGACTCTAACTAGAAGTTTCCTCTTCGAGAAAATAAAAAGATTGCACTCATTAAGTATCAACTACGAATTATCTACCATCTCAATATTCTGAGACATCCCAATAAAACCTAACGAGCCACTTAAATCACGACAGGAAAGGGTGCAATCGCCCCGAGGACCGCAAACACGCCACCGAAACCTTCACCTGTTAACCATTTGCGCTGGCAACTGATTTGCGGACCATAACGAGTGACCAAACCGTACACAATAATTCGTCGCTTTCTTTTTGAACTCGTCGTTATGATATTCACCGGATAGAAACGATTGAGAGTCAATAAATTTATCATTTGTTTTGCCTATTTTGTTTTAAACTTAAATATACTTAAAACTGAGAAAATATTACAATTTTGGGACAAAAAAATTCTCAGCGTGCGTGTCACGTCATTCCAGCGCAAGAGGTTAAAGAAGCATTCCCAAAGAAGCTGTCTAACAACGCTCCAGCAATTTACTGTTGATATCCAACACGGGCCGCCGGTGGATCCTACGATCCTCCGTGGATGTATAATGCTCGAATTGATACGTTACAAAAAGCGGATTAGAAAAGCGAGCAAAAGCCAACGCGACGTTGAGCCGCGTGCAACTGTCCCATTTGTCACGATGAATTATTCACCGTCAGAAAAATATTCCAACGCTCGGGTATCCGGCATCGTACGGAACAAAGAGTTGTGAAACGGCGTATTCTACTCTCTCTCTCTCTCTCTCTCTCTCTCTCTTTTTCTATGTGTGCTCTTGGTCCCGGTGACACTCAGACCTGCGCGTCTCCCCTTTCTCTTCTTCTTGTTCCATGCGAGCGAAATGATTTCTTGCGAGCTAGCTCACGCATAAAGGAAGACGTAGAATCGTTGGATATCTTGCGGTGGAAGATAACATCTACGGGAGCCACGAGAGATTTGCGGTAGACGGTGGCTCCAGCCTCTGACTGCCTACGCATCTTCCAGCTGCACTCGAGCTGGTCCACCTGCATTGCAGCATCGCACTGGTTCAATGTCGGGTGCTACGTTGACCGCGTATAACGATCGGAATGTTGCCCGTCGAAAATTCGTGTCTGCGAACCTTCCGCGAACCAGCAGAAATA